AAATTCTTTAAGAAAAAGAGAGCCATCCTCACTTAGAATTGCTCCCGCCAATAGGTAACGAGGGTGGGTAAGAAGTACCAGGTAGGAGGTCGTGCCTTGAGTAACCCCGGAATGGGCACTTTTCCTCCTATGACAGATAAGTGGTTGTGGAGTATTTCTCGGTAAGGTACTGGCAGACTTTCATGTCATTTTAAATAAAGTCAGTGAATTTTAGATCGGTGCTTCCAAGATTTTAAAGTTCGTGTTATATTCTTTTAATGTTTTATTTCATGGTATTTTACGTGTTTTGTGCTTTTCTAGTTTTACGTGTTTTGTGATTTACTTAGTTTTACGTGTTTTGTGATTTACCTAGTTTTGCGTGTTTGTGTTTGTCTTTTATGCGTATTTTAATAAATGTCGAAGGTTTTATGAACAGTTTTCCGTACCCTCCTACTGTGACGAAAGACATAAGTCATAACGGACATGTAAAGGTGAAATGATATAACACTAAATCGTCCCCCGCCCACGCCTCTCCGGCTAAATACACGCATACCAGTCTTTTACATTCTCGCACCAAACACATACACTCATACATACACTTACACACTATCTCTCCGTTCCTTCCACTCTTCCTTGCACTTCGCCAATCCTCCCTTCACACCTATCCAACGTCCCCATACGTCAATTAAATGGGTGGTAACAGCGCCCGCTTTTCAAATCTTGCGAGAATGTAACCACATGCAAGTTGCTACAACTCCCATCCGACCCCCCTTCCCCTCCCCCCGCCCCTGACCTATCCTCCTACCTATCTTTCCCTCTCGCATCTCCTCCCCCCATCAGAATGCCCTCTACCTCCACCCAAGAATCCCCTTCCACACTCTCCCTGCCTGCTGTACCTGTGACCAGTGACCCTTCCAGCTCCCTTCCCCTCCCGCCCACCTCCCCTCTCTCCCCGCCCGCAGCGAGCGAGCAGGCTCCCCGAGGACCAGACCACCTAAGCAGTCCTTGAACAACCAACAAGCAAAGCGAAGCAAGCACACAAGTAACGCCTAGACGAAGCTTTAGAAAAAAACAAGAAGAAAAACAATCAAAATCAATCAATCAATCCAAATCGCCAGTGGAGTGATGCAGTTCATCACCAGGTGCTAGGAGTCCCCCCTCCCACTGCACCCCCACCTCCAGTAGTGCCGACGGTTGTGATTAACAACCAGAACAGAAGATGCTGAAGATGAAGGCTTCGTCACAGTCGTTTCAAAGAAACAAAGGAGAAAATCAAGAGAGGAACGACAAGCACCAAAGCCCTTAATAGGAGCAGATCGGGCCCGAGTCAGTATACCTGTACATCACTAGCTGTCATCCAGAAAAAAAACAAGAAGAAAAACAATCAAAATCAATCAATCAATCCAAATCGCCAGTGGAGTGATGCAATTCATCACCAGGTGCTAGGAGTCCCCCCTCCCACTGCACCCCCACCACCCGACGGTTGTGATTAACAACCAGAACAGAAGATGCTGAAGATGAAGGCTTCGTCACAGTCGTTTCAAAGAAACAAAGGAGAAAATCAAGAGAGGAACGACAAGCACCAAAGCCCTTAATAGGAGCAGATCGGGCCGAGTCAGTATACCTGTACATCACTAGCTGTCATCCAGACACTAATGAAGATATTGAAGAACACCTCTCGGAAAATTTCGAAAATATATCAAGTGTAAAAGCTCACAAGACAACTATGAGTCACAACTACTACTCTAGTTTCACGGTTATTGTGCGAGGCCGAGTATTAAAGCCTGAACTGTTTTTAACAGTGTAAATTGTCCCTATGATCTTCCATTTGCGATAAAGGAGTGGAACTGCTATAACGTAAAGCATGCTATAAGCTACTTATAATCTAATACAGGCCACGGAAAAAGAAAAAAAAACAACAACAGAGAAAGAAACATTATAACTAATTGAAAGAAACTGCAGATAAGGCCGAACATAATAATGATAATAATAATCTGGAGATCAAGTAACTAATGACAGAGCAGTTAAATAGTTGTTTATAGGACAATTGAATTAAAACCTATAATTCTAGCATGTAATGTGGCATCGGGTGTAAGGCATTTAGAACTCAATCACCACAATAATCACATTTCTTGTGCATGTAAAGAACCCCCAGTGTATATTTGAAAGCTGGTTTTATTCGGGGGTACAATATTTTGATGCGATGGGTTTTCGTATGGCCGACAGAGCCGAGGTTCCGACCGCGAAACACACACACAGAGAGAAGTAGAAACCAAGATAAACAACAGTAGTCAAATCGAGGCAAAGAATCTGCAAGAAAAAGTTGATGAAGTAATCAAAGTACAGGAAACTGTTAAGCAGACTGAAAGCAATTTGTCAGGCAGCCAGTCTCAGATAATGGAAGAGGCAAAAAGGATGACAGCTACATATGCCAGGGGATTTTAATAACAAAACTGACTGGAAAAGTTTCGATCCCCGAGTTCAGCCAGATTTGTGGAATGCAAAACTACTAGAAGTCATAAATAAAATTTGACTCTTCCAGAATTTAACAACATACCAAGATAAGAAGGCTAGATACACCGTCTATGCTTGACCTAATATTTACAAAGCATAAAGATGACATTAAGGATAAGGAGTACTGCCCTCCTCTAAGAAAAAGTGATCATGTAGAATTAAGTTAAAATATCGTTTGCTACAAGAAAAAGAAAGTACAATTGTAAGAGAGAGGTAATTAAACAAAACCCTCTAAATTATAGGCCAGTTTCGTTAACTAGTGTAGTATACAAGCTGTTGGAAAGAATAATTATATAATAGTGTTGAGGTACTTGAAAAACACGATATGATATCAAATAAACAATTTGGTTTTAGGGAAGGAAGGTCATGCATAGCAAATCTCATCTGTTTCTATGATTAAGTTTCTAAAATATTACAAGAAAGAGACGGCTGGGTGGACTGTGTATACTTAGACTTTAAGAAGGCATTTTGATAAAAAGATAATAGACGATGTCTCATGCCAATGCCTCCAAAGTGACGTCGAGAACTTATTCATTTGGAAAATGGAATTTAACACCAATAAATGCCATGTAGTCAGGTTTAGAGAAAGTAAAAATCGTCCACTATGGGAGTTAGAAGACGTAATATCAAACAAGATAAAGAAAAAACCTTGGAACCTAAGCTCAAATATTCATATAAATGACAAGGTTCATAGAATGGAAGGGCTGATTGCCAACATGAAAAGAGCATTCTTTTATGACGAAGATATGTTAAGGAAGGTCATTACAGCCATCTTAAGACCTAGTCCTGAGTATGGTGCAGTGTTATGGAGTCCACTCTTATAAAAGGATATAGATAAAATAGAAAGAATTCAAAGAGTAGCCACAAGATGGGCACCTACTCTATGAGATATGAGCTACGTAGAAAGACTTTGGAAAATAGGTCTTACTACTTTGGAAGAAAGAAGAAAAAGAGGTGACATGATTATGATGTTCAACTATATTACAGGAAGGGTGAAGTTAAACAAACCTGACTTTATCATTTTGAACACGAGGATGAAAGGACACAGCAAAAAAGTTGAAAGTAAAAAGAGGCGAGAAAGATGTCAAGACGTTCAGGTTTCCAAACATAACTATTGAAACATGGAACAATCTTCCAAATAACGTTGTGTGTGCCAAAAATGTGCATCAATTTAAAAAGTTATATGATAATTTAAATATAGCAGACGGGACTATCTGAGCACTTCTCACATACTGAAACAACTAGGTAAGAATATGTGTCTGTGTGTGTGCGCGTGTGCGTGTGTTCATATGTAAATATACATATATATGTACACACAGTACACACACACAGTATATATGTATATATATATATATATATATATATATATATATATATATATATATATATATATATTATGTGTGTGTATATTTATATATATAACATACACATGGTATGTATATATATATATATATATATATATATATATATATATATATATATATATATATATATATATACACACACACACACACAAACATATATATACAAATATACATGTGTGTGCGTGTGTGTGTTTATACCTTTAAAAATAATTTTAAGGTGTAGTGAAGTGTTCCCACTCTCGATGGTTTGTTTACATTGCCCTCGTGACGGTCTGTGTGAAGTGAGGCTGTATGACAGTGTTTCCAGAATACTTCTTACGGCCGACACCGGTACCATTGCCCAATCAGCATTAAGGACGAAAATCAAGGACGTGAGTTTTCTGGAATACCGAAGACGCCTTAATAATGATTTCTTTCTTTCTTTCTTTTTTAGCAATATGCATTTCTAGTGAGGGGCAGAGATGGAGGGAAAAAGCCAATGGCGATGAGACTATTATGATCCTAATTATGCTTTACTCAGAGTAGTTTTAAGACGGTTTATTACAAGGCAGGTTTATAACACCTAACTTTGGGGGAAAAATGAAGAGAAGGCGAATAAATTATACTTCTTTTATTCATTTGCTGGTTTCCAATGTGACCTTTTCAAAGTTGTAATTATCCCACTTGCGTATTTTGATATTCACATAGATGTAGGATGATATGCACCTGTTGCATTTGCAATACTGAAACAATTCAGTATGAAGCTTTAGCTTATTATTATTAATCTTTATTTTCCAATAATCAGATAGTAGTGTCTTAGCAGTAGTTACCTAAATGGCGTTTTGTGATGAAATGGGTTATTTGTAAATTGTGGTTCTGGTATCAAAATGTAAATCAAACGTTTACATTCTTTATTGCACAAGGTTAATGTTACCGAGACGCACAGAATTAGAAGGAAGTGGACACTGACATCATATAGAGCACAAGAAATGGAGCAATAAACAACACAGGTACAGCTGTCGTGGCCTCGTATTTACCGCGAAAAGACGAAAGCATCCGCTGCATAACACCGCTCAGATACGAAGCCCACAACACAGCCAGAGTTCTTAGAGTCGCGTTTCCCGTAAAATTGGCATGGAGTACTAATAAAGTAGGGGCGGGAGGGGGGGGGGGGTGTTCAGGGGGAGTTGCTCCCTTTTCTAGGAATGAATAGGGAATGAATAGAAGTGAATAGGGAATGAATTGAAGATAAGAAAGGTTAGGTTGGGATATTGGTTTCCCATGATACCCTTGTTTTGGGACTTGCATATATAATTGGATCTTGAGTGATATTTGATGAACTATATATAACTGGATCTTGAGTGATATTTGATGAACTATATATAATTGGATCTTGAGTGATATTTGATGAACTGTCATTTCTACCAACTCATTTTTTCCAGGCATGATGAGTGCACAGTCACAGTCAACACAAGTCCAGACTAACCTGGCCATCCCACCTGGGCATTTACTCATTTCAAGTGCTTGGCAAGGAACACAGTTGGCATCACTCATCTCAAAGGAAACAAAAGTTTTATATTCTGATGGTGAGAATCTACGTTTTTTTTATGATAAGAATCTAGAGTCATATAAGCTTATGTGGTATGAAGTATCAACTTGTTCATAATATCAGATGTAAAATTGTCCTTGATGTTTGAATTACAAAGCCATATTCTAAGGATCATGGCCATTGTTTCTTTGTAAATCATGTTTCACTATATATTTGTTACTTTAAGCTATATACCTAAAAGAAAATTTGTGTTCTAGGCTTGGGTGTGGTCGACTTCCATCCGTCAGGGGATGCTGCCGTCATCTTTGTCAGTGAAGCAGACTTGTTGACTGGTATTTATTCTGTCTAACTCTGTCATGTATATTTGATAAGAATGTAATAGCCTGTGTAATAAGAATAATTGAAAACACAATTGTATATTTCTTTTTCTGTCATTACGGTGAGTTTGTTTTTTACAATGTAAGACTCCTTATGTGCATTAAAAAATTCTGTGCTCCATTATTACATGAGGTTATACTGAGCTGAGTTGTTAAATAATTGATCTCTTTTGG